TTTTGAAAAATAAATTTCAAATAGTTCATTTATCTATTTGCTAACTGACAATTTGAAAAATTTAAAGAATGATAAAAATCTATTTAACAGAAAAATTATAAGAAGAAGAAAAGAATGAAAAGGAAAAACGAACGGACTGCCCTCCATCGTATCATTTTTTTTCAAATTCTTTTCAATGCAAAAGCAAATCAATGATGTGATTGAAGAAAGGAGCATTAGCGCCACCGCTATGATAAATATTATCAGATAACGTAAATCATATCTTGAAATCGATGGTAAACGTAAATTTTGCCACTGAAATTTTAGCTCTCCTTATTATTACTATTATTATTTTTTTTTTCGCAATTCTATGAAGATAAAGGTGGCAGTGACATATCAATATAATTAATATAGGAAATCATTAATCAATAGGGCAAAATTCTTGCTGGACTATTTTTTTTTTTCATTTAATAATTGATCCTAACTTACATCGACGGTATTTCGTAGACGATATTTGTAAAGACAAAGTTCACATATTGCTGGACGTTTCAATTTATGAGCACAAATTGTTAACCAATGCTAAATGAAAATTTATATGCTTTTAATTCATTTTTAATTATTGAATTAAATTCAACATGGAATTAATTATTTTAAATTGTGATTTAACATATACAATAATAACGCTAACGTTTAAAGTATACATGAAGATCATGGAAATTTTAAATGAAATTTGTATAATTTTAAATTATTTAAGTGGAAACATACTAAGAGGCATGATATATGGACGTATTTTAAGGAACCGGTACAACGACATGGAGAAATGAACGGATCACCGGAACTAGCAAAACTATGACAAATCCGACAAAATCTCTCAATGGTTGCTTCATTTGGTGAAAGTGTACTGCAATCGGTTACTGTAATTGAATGAAGTGTACTCGAACCTGCTCTCTGAAATTCCGTTTTATTTCATTTTATTCAAGCAGTAAATCAATAGTGTTACAAAAAATTTTTATTAAGATGGAAGATTGCGAAAAGAGAGGGAGTGGTGAATCGATTGATTCATTAATTTACATACACTGTATAAATTTATCAAAATTTCATTGATATAGCAATGTTGTATAAGCGCTTATCAATTATCATTGTGAAAAAGCTGTAAATGAATCAATGGATAATTTTTTTAGTGCTTAAAGGTTGTTTAGGTTTATTATGTAAATTTTTCAAAATTATCCTAAGTTTACAGCAAACCTGTTCGGTAATCTTTGGGCAAGTACCATTGACAAATGGATTTCCTGTGCATATTTCACAAAATGTTCCAATGTCCGAGAAATTACCGCACCTATTGTATGGTACTTCGATGTTGGATACATTCCAACGATGATCCAATGTTCTAATGTATAATGCATAATGGCAATCATCACTAAATCGTCGATCATCATGACAGTATTTTTTTGTTAACTCTAAAAAATAGTTAAAATAATTGATGAAATTTGAGAAAGAATACTGTAATCTGATAAACATATCAGATTTTTTAAAAACTTTCTTATCAAAATGAATAATGTTCAATTGATGAAATTTTAAAGTTCAACAATTTTTACATCAATTAATCACTACATTCTTTAATTGACATGTAATAATTTTTCTTAGATTAAATCAATATTTACATATTGAGATGAAAAAATTTTCCCTGATATTTTTTTTCTAAAATTTGATACAATTTGTGCTACTTTGTTCGTTCATAATTTTAATACTTTTTCAATTTAAAAAAAAATAGCTATTTTTATATTTATGAATTATTTTGCTATTGCAATGAAGATTGATATGATTTTAATAAAATAATCAGATGTCATACCGTTCGTCTACTTAATTAACATCCGAGAAAATGGATGATAACATATTACTTTTATCCTTTCTGATCTTTATCTCATTTATCATTCATCATTAAACTTGCTTGCTAGAGTTAAGCGAAAAGTTTTTCACTTTTTTAAAAAAAAAAAAACTCCAGTTTGCACTTAAAAAGAAAAAAAAATTCATTGAATTTAATTGAACTGCAAAATATATAATAATTGCTTATTACTTTCATATTCTAACATATTATTAAGAATTGAATTTGATAATTCATCGATTTTTATCAATTATCATCTGGAAAAATTAACAAAATGATAAAATTTAAATGTCTGTGTGACAGATATTTCAAGTAATCAAAGACGATGAGACGTTCCATGTAAGCAATATTATTGCTTGTAGACTAGAAATTATCTAGAAGAATTTGAAAACCTATAATTATTATTATGTGCTTGAATGAATCTCAATTGCGGAAGCAAAAATAAAAGATGGAAATAGATTTGAGCAAACAAAACTTTGATTTCTTGGTCCCTTCTCGAGAAAATTAAATTTTGCTAAAAATCCTAAAATTTTTCCTCCTGAAGATTTTTATCCTTTTAAGTCAAAAATGTTGAGAATGTTTTTTTGGTAAATTATTGCTCAAATTACGAAATTGTTTGAAGAAATACGCACGATCAACAAAATTAATTGCCAAAAAAAAAAACAAAAAAAATTGTTCGTATTCTTCTACCTCTGAAATTTTCATTGCTTTTACTGGTTTCACTTATTTCATGTAGGCTAGTGAGCATTCCAGAAATCTAAATTTGAATGAAATCTTGAATTAATAAATGAAATAAATAACATTTAGAAAGAGCTTGAAATGATTTTCAGTAAAATGGAACTAATTATCTAATGGCTTAAATATAAATGATCTTATAAACACCAACCGCTCAAACGATCTTCCATCATTTTATTTCACTTTTGATCCCTTTCATTTGAGCCAAATTCAATGAAAAAACTGGAAAATTTTCAAATTTTTGAAACATACCAATTAAACCTATTAAATTTTGTTAACGAAAAATTTTTTTAACAAAAAAAAAAAATTATTGAAAATGGAAATTGTTAGAAGACATTACCTTACGTACTACATGACGAGATTGTAGCTGTCCGGATGATACTGCATCATCTGAGCTTGAAACAGTAGCTGGCTGAATTTTGCAATAAATGGATAGCAAAAGATTTAAAATGGGAAAAAAAAGGAGTAAAAAAAAATCATGCATCGTAATTATTTTTGCAGCAGTAATCTAATTAATATTCTGATTTTGGATAAATAAAATTAAATAATGATTCACACAATAATTTATGTTTTAAAAAAAAACCTTTGCATAAGTTTTAGTTTGGTAAAGGAAATGAGAAAGACAAAAACTTTTCATCTCATCAATGCTTAGCAATGAAATCACAGCAGTGAAAAAGTTTCTTTCTAATTAAATTAATTAAATTGTAAATTTAAAAATTTCATTTTAAAAGGAAATTATATTTCAATAAGACATGTAATTCCTTACATAATACTTTTTTGAGGAAAATTTATGCCGCATAAATGTTATGATAAATATTTTTGTCATTTTTTTTTTCCAAATTTTTATTATATTTTTGTTGACCTATTAATTTTACATTTCATTTAAATACATTTTTGTGATCGTTCTGTTCACAATTATTATTTGATAACTTTATCAATCAATCGTAAATTTCACTGAAAGGAAGCGATCAAACATAAAAAGATATTTTGGAAAAAGAAATCACATTTCCATGAATTGCTTTCCGAAATTTCATCGCTAATGTATTTCTTTTTTCTTCTCGTAAAATAAAATTGTTCTATTAGTGAACAAATTTTTTTTTTTTTTTTTAATAAAAATTTGTTTTTATTTGTTAGAGTTGATGATGCTATTTCGTCGCTCGCACTACTCTCAATTTAAAATTCTATTGAAATTTAACTTGAAATATTTCTATAATTTATGAATATCAAGAACAAAAAGGAGAGAAATATTTATGCTCCTTAATTCTTATCCTTTTATTGAATTTTATAATTCCGGAAAAATGGATTCTAACTAGCAAATTGGACGTTAATCAATTTTTTTGGTTTTAATGATGATAATTTTTTTTTTAAAAAAAATAATATAAAAAGATCAGAAAGATCAAAGCAGAAAATAAATTTTCCTGTGCGCTATACTTCTCAGACAATAACGCTAAACAATAGTTGAGACATTTCAGTAATTTCTAGCACAATCCCTAAGGAGCTATTGATGAAATTTTTCAAATATTTAATTCAAAATCGATTTATCCCACGGTTTTAAAACTACAAAAAAATTTTTGCAGAGAATGATAAAAAGTAAAATAATTTCAAATTGCCTACACAAAATGATTTTCAAAAAAAAAAGAAAGTGATTTTACAAAAAAAAAAAATCACATATAAATGAAACCAATATAATTTCAAAAAATATAATTTAGATAAATCGATTTTGTATAATTGAAAATCGTTTTAATAAGATTTAGATTTAAAAATTCATTTGGTAAATTATATGTACTAATTGATATTTAATTTAATGTATGATAATAAATTCAGAAATGATTACCTTTTTTGCATTAGCAAATGTTGCAGATCCTGACGCATCATACATTGCTTCCTTTTTTGATTATTTTTTTAAGACACAAAGCTGAAATTTGTCAAAATTAATAGGAAGAAAGAATAAATGATAGCGCAAAACGGTTCATTAAATAAGAAGTAAAAGCCGATATGGTCGAGTGTTTATAGGCCCAGGATTAAGTAATATGCAGAATTCCTTAGCTGCTTTGCTCGTCCTTAAAACTTAAACATGAACTAATCAATATTCAATATCTAATTAATTATGCGTTGCAAGCTAATTATTGATGGTTAATTGTAAATAATGTAGTATTGAATTAAGCAATAACAAAGCAAATTCATCATAATTGTTTAGCTAGGCTTATTTGACATGTATAAGTGTGTGTGTGTGTGTGTGTGTGTGTGTGTATGTGTGTGTTTGTTTATGTATAAAGACTGTTACCTGACTATTTAGCAATATCAATAATATTCAAAATTTATAAAATAAAAAAAAGATGAAAGCATAAAATAATTACATTTTGAGGAAATTGGTAAAGAAAAATAATGCGAAAAATATCTAACCAATCTCAAGAGAGAATTAACTCTAAATGTTTTTTGATTGGTTGCATTAACGATTGTAAAAAAAAAAAAAACAAAAGAGAAAGATGGAAAAAAAGAAGTAAATAAGTAAGCGAGTAAATAAGTAAGTAAGTAAGTAAGTGAGCAATAAATCCTATGAGAATACAGTGTCTTTTGTATATCAATTGGCAAATGATCTAAAGCGAAATGAAGAAAAGAATGACGAAGTTATTAGAATTGGTTGCTTAGAAAAGGAAGGAAGGAAGGAAGGAAATGGATGATGGCAAATAGAGGCAGCCGACCCTGATTATTAGTGTTGCTGGTGTATTTCATTTTACTAAGTTAAAGTTAAAGCTTCCGGATCAATTCAACCAAACATTTATCGTATCATGCAAATTATTATAATAAAATTATAATAAATAGAAATTATAATAAATATAAAGTGAATATTGCTTCTTTGAGAAAGTTTTAATGATTTCGAGCTTTTTTCATTTCACTTTCTCATCCTATCAATCTATCAAATATGCCTCATATAAATTTTCAATTTTTCTACAGTGTATTTGTATCGTTTCTCTTTTTTTCCATTCCGATATAATGCAATGATAAGTGATCGATTGATCGATTGACTGGTTGATTCAATTGACCATTGACATTTGACATGTTAAATTTTCATTTCCGGAAAGTGATAGATATGCTTCCGGAATAAATGTTAATAGAAAGAATGATTTATCCTCAAAAAAAAAAAAAATTCATGTTTTTCTAAAAATATAACAATGAAATAAAGAAAAAAAAATGAGGAAATTTATGCTCATATTGAATATCGCTCTTCAAGAAACTAAAATATTTGGCTCGCTTAAACCAAAACATCTTTCTCCCTCTCTCTCTCTCTCTCTCTCTCTCTCTC